CACACACACACACACACACACCCCACACACACACACACAGCCCGACGCATACACACAGGCGCGCGCTTCTTAAAGGAGACAGGTCTTAAAGGATTCGCTGCGACTGTAAGGCGCACCGTAGGTAGCCAGCCCCCGAGAATGGCCCTAGTTTGGGACGAGCTCTTTAACAACATCCCCCATCCCTCACCACAGAGGCAGGCATCGGGGAACCCGGGCGGCTCCATCCTTTCGTCTTACCCACTCCTCGCCTAACACTAGAACAAGTGCGCCCCGCCTGTGCCGGGGACTGGGTGGGGCTCAGGCCGTGGACCCCAGTGGGACCTGGGGAGCGGTCCAGGCCTGGTCCTGCTTTAATCCAGCGGCCCTGGAAGGACCCAAGCGCTTGGGATCAGGGACCGCCCGGATTACTGTGCGCTGCCCGGGAGCTCAGGTCGTCTGCCAGGGTTAGCCAAGTTTGGAAAGCGCGAGATGGCAAGTCCTGCGTGTCCAAAACTTTATCGGGGGGTCCTCCCAGCCTGTGCCCTGAAGTCTCCCTGAATTCCTTCTGCCATCACTACGCCCGCCTTCCGGTCTGGGGGTGGGGGTGGGCACAGGGTTTGGGTAACTGGCCGAGCATAGAAGCGGGATGAAAACGCTCACTTTCCAAGGTTGTTCTGTCCCGTGGACACAGGTACACACTAGGACCCAGGAGAGGTGGTCTTGGGTGTTAACAAAACGTCGGGCAAGAGCAGGAGGGGGCGCTGGGAAGAGACCGGCAAAGGGAGAGAGGGGAAGGGCTGGGGAAGGAAGAAGAGGGAGCAGCCTGAGGAAAGGCAAGTAAAGCAGCTGGCGTGGGCGGGAGGAAGAGGCTGCGCACAGACCAAGCCGGGGAGAGGCTAGAGGGAGAGAGGAGAGCTGCAGGAGAGAGGAGGAGGCTGCTGGCAAGAGGCGCAGGATTTCTGCGGGCAGGGGAACTTCAGAAAAGGCTGCCAAAAAGGACTCGAGTTGCAGCAGTGTGAGGCAGTGGACGGGGGGGGCAGCAACCACCAGCTATTGGCAGGTGATGGTTTAGCTTGAAGGGAAAGGGGGAAGGGAAGGAGGCAGGCATCTGTTTGGGTGCAATGCCAATAAATGTGCTTCTCCTTGGCAGCCAGCAGAGGGGAAGAAGAGCCCACGGGAAAGAAATGCAGGCGGGGTTGAGAAGAAAGTGTGCCCCAGGTAAAACAGCTACCTTGGTGAGGTGGAGAACAGAACTGATGAGGCAAATTTCAGGGGTGAGCTGGAATAGCAAGTAGGACAGCAAGAGGTCATGTTTGGTAAGCACATAGAAAACGTTGAAAAACAGTTTGCCAAAAATTGCATTGGACTGTAGTAAATTGTATCCTAAAGAGAAAGAAAGCTGAAGACCGAGACTTTGTGTCTGTTAGTTTAAAAATTATACTATGACGCAGCCATTGTGACCCAAAACACTCAGGAAGCCTTTCCTGACTGTCTGCTCTATGCACAGCATCTAAGATCCACAGAAGAATTTTTGAAGAAGTAATAAAAAGCAACACCTTATATTGTGTAAAACCAAAAAACCAAACCCTCTGCCATCCAGTTGATTCCAACTCATAGCAACCCTATAGGACAGAATAGAACTGCCCCATAGTGTTTCCAAGGAGCACCTGGTGGATTCAAACTGCTGACCTTTTGGTTAGCAGCCATAGGTCTTAACTACTACACCACCAGGGTTTCATATTAAAATTTACAGAATGTTTCCACACATATCATGTCATTTAATTCTCACAACATCCCTGAGTGTTTTGTTCACATTTTACGCACGAAGACAATGATAATAATGAAAGATAACTTTTCAGAAAACTACACAAGTGGCACAGTTCAAGCCTGGGTTTTCTGACTCCCAGTCCAGTGCATTTTTCACTCTACTCCAGTGACTTTCCATGTGGAAACTAATTCCTGCTCTTAACAGGTGTATAACTCATAGACTGTGATGAATTACATGAAAGAAACAATGAACAATTATAGGGTAACATGAAAGTATGGTCATTATGTAGAAATTATATGGTGTTCTATGTCAATAATCACTGCATCACCAGGGCACCCGGTTAATAAAGTAGTCCCTAGGTGGCACAAATGGTTAAGCTCTCAACTACTCACTTAAAGGTTGGAGGTTTGAATCCACCCAGAAGCACCTCTGAAGAAAGAGCTGGCAATCTGCTTCTGAAAGGCCACAGCCTTGAAAACCCTTCTCTGCACACATGGGGTCACCGTGAGTTGGAATCGACTTACAGACAACTGGCTGGTTTTTTTGTTTGTTTTTCTATGTCAGTATGGGAGTCCACGGGTGGTGCAAATAGTTAAACATCTCTGCTGCTAACTGAAAGCCTGGAAGTTCAAGGCCATCCAGAGGCACATCAGAAGAATGGCCTAGCAACCTACCTCCAAAACCAGCCTTTAGAAACCCTGTGGAGCATAGTTCTACTCTGACACACATAGGGTCACCATGAGTCAGATTCGACTCCAAGGCAATTGGTTATGTCAATATAAAGTAATCATATATAGTGGGGGCTATTTGTCAATAAATCAAGAATAATTTTTAGTATGTGTACATTAAAACTAACAGGCTCAAAGTTGGAGGAGAGGAATGAAGACACAAAATAACATTAAACAAGAAAAAAACCAAACCCATTGCTGGAGTGCCTGGTGGATTCGAACTGCCGACCTTTTGGTTAGCAGCCGTAGCTCTTAACCACTATGCCATCAGGGTTAGAGGTAAATAATATAACTGTCAGACAGAATCTTGAAGGTTAAAAAAAGTTCAAACTCTGTTCCTAATCCTTAAGGTAGTTTTGCAAAGAGGGCGATAAAACAAATTTACATAAGACATACATGAGAAAATAGTTTTCATTTCCTTTCCGCATAAGCCAGAATATAAGCAATTCTTTTTTAAGGAAGTTGAATGAGATTTGGGCACTGCTGGGCACTGCAAGCAAACTGTTGGTCAAAGATAATATATAACCTCAGAGCAGAGAGATACATTAGCAGAGTATTTGTGAAAGATAAGGTATGGGAAGGGGCTTGTGATAAAGTATTGAATTAACATTTGATCAAACAGGGTAACAAAACTAACCAGTTTTAGAAAGGAATAGATGTCTAGGGAGAATTATCTTAGAAATTATGCATAGGACTGTCCATTTGGAGGGACTGGGTACAAAAAGACAGCAATTAAAACTAAATTGTAATCCAGCTATGAAACTGTAATGTGTAGTGATGTGTCCTTGGAAAACTATACTTTTCAGGAAGAGATCGTAAGGGGGAAAATATTTCCACTTAAAAAAAGGAATCCTAAACTCAAAAGATAATCTCAAAATAGTGATTAGTAATAATGACAATAATTGTTATTTACTTTGCAAACATATAGTAAATATTTTAGTGGCCATTCAATGAGCAATGAATGAATTAATAAATGTCCAAAGTTCTGGAAATACTAACAAAAACAAAATACTGTTCCATTCCAGTGATAAGGGTCAGAAGGATTCACAGTCCAGTGAAAGAGACAGATATATAATAATTAGGGCAATGTGGTAAGCACTCAACTAGTGGCAAGTGCAAGATGCAATGGAACAGGATGGAAGAAATAACTTGATTTTCTCTGGAGCCCGTAGAGAAAGCACCACAAAAGAACTGGTTCTAAAACAGAATCTTGAAGGATGAGTAGAAATTCACCAGGTGGATCAGAAAAGGAGGGGTGTTACAGACTTGTGTGCAATACCATGGAGGAATGGACACATAAGATGTGTATGGGGAACTACAAATTGTTTCTCAGGACTAGAGACCAGGACGTGTGTGAAACAATGCCAAGGTCTGAGGTTGCATGAGTATGCAGGGATAAGATCATGAAGGGTCTTGTGTGCCATGTTTAGGGCTTTAGACTACCTTGAGTGATACTTAGGAGGAAATTGAATATTCACTACCTTTGCTGTATGTTTGCTAACTGTGAAAATAGTCACCTTCTAGAAGTTCTCCTTTTTTTTTTTTTTTACCTCATATGTTCCATTAAGCATTTAATGTCTACTGTCTTTGTGGACCTTGTATCTTTACCTATGTGGACCTACTTTTGGAAATGCAAATGTTTCTTTGTCAGGTGAGTTTGTTATTCCATGTCTTATCTGTTATACATGCTTATCTTTTAATGGCCCAGAATTATGAAGTTCCTTATATCTTAGTGGTATGAGCTTCTTAGTTGTGGTCTTTTTTTTTTTTCCCCTATCCACAGTAACT